TTTCTCACTATTTTCAGATACTTTCAATTTGAAAGTGAAAATTTCAAATCCGTTGAAAGATTAGGGCATATGCGCCAATGTTACGTGTTGTGTTTCTTTACCGTTCACATAATAAGTAAACTGGAAAACTTCATAGACGGTTAATTTAAAAAGAGCTTCAAGGGTATCATTTATTTTATCGTTGATTAATTATTTATTTATTGAATGGTACTATATTGTACATTATATGCAAATTTATTTTATTGGAATATAGTATTCTTAAGTAAGTAATACTAATGACATTTTGTATTCCGTAAACATACCAATTTTGCATTGAAAATACCAGCTTTTTTGTTACAACAGTACCAGGTTTTCTGATTTACCTCTAACATCGCTGTCTTGGACTATCGGCTTTTTATAGTAACGTTACTGAGAGATGGCGCGTGGACCAACGACATAAGCTAGAACGTATTATATTATGTTGCAAATAAAGGTAGTTATGGACTTAACTTCATCCTAGTTGACCACACGTAAAACTATATAACCCTACAGCTCTGGGGCTTAACTTATATCTTTATAAGCTAGCCGTGGTATATTCCAGATGAAACATTTTTATAATCAAATAAAATGTACATGAGATTGCCCATTGTGTGTACTCGTCAAAATTTTGCCTAACTCATGAAATAACCAATGGACTTGTCGATTTTATGAAGCACACAATTATTTTCGCGATACTGACATTGCAGTATTAGCATCTAGCAAGGAGGACTCAGAGATAGCTTTAAATAAAATGGAAGCGGTACTAACAGAACAGTACTGTAAGAAAATAAATAAAAGTGAAACTAAAATATTGGGATACAAGGGAAGAAAAAGTAGAATAAGAGCGAATATAAAGATAGGAGACGAAAAATTAGAAGAAGTGGCTGATTTTAGATACCTAGGAAGTCAGATAAGTGAGGATGGAAGGAGTAGTAGGGATATAAAGCAGAGGATAGCGCAGGGTCGTGTCGCCTTTAATAAAAAGGAGTCACTTCTATGCTCGCGAATAGTTAATTTAGAAATTCGAAAAATATTGTTAAAGGTGTATGTTTGGAGCATGGTGTTGTACGGGTGCGAAACATGGACAGTGGGAGCGGCGGAAAAGAAAAGGTTAGAAGCGTTCGAAATGTGGTGTTATAGGCGAATGATGAGGATAATGTGGGTAGAAAAGGTTAGAAATGAAGAGGTATTAGAAAGAATAGGAGAACAGAGGACTCTACGGAAGTCAATAAAAAAATGGGCGAGATAGGTTGGTAAGACACTTTCTCAGGCATGAAGGTCTAGTCAGAGACATATCAGAGGCAGGAACAGGAGTTAGGAGGGGTAGAGGTAGGTGTAGATTAGACTACTGTTCACAAATAGTTAAGGATGTGGGTTGCTCTAGTTTTAGGAAAATGCGAAGTTTAGCACAGGATAGGAAAGAGTGGAGGTTCGTGTCCAGATGATGACTGACATTGTTTTTTTTTTGTTTCAGTAGAACATGATTGATGCTTCGGAGAGGTTTTTGGTGAATTCCCGATTTTGGATACAAAGGGTGCTTGTTCCTATAGCAGTCTTTATTGGCGTGGGCGGGAATGTCGTTTCCGTAATTGTGCTCACAAGGTAAAAGGAAATGTTATTCAGTTCAATAATTTATCGTGAATTCTATTGAATAATTTAATTGAGAGGCAGATAGTTGTTATTCTTTTTATGTAAAAGCGCCATTATACTTTTTTAATGGTCATAAAAATAAACTGTGCTGGTGTGATTCTTTGAGCGAATTCCTTAGAAAGTAACTGAATGAGGGAAGTGCTTTAGCGAAGTAAAATGCTCTTTGTAGGTTATAAAAGGCGTCGTCGATTTATCATTTTTTTTTTTGTGAAACATTTTGCTGTCAGTCATAATGTATCATTCGCTTGTGTACAAAATTGAATCAGTCTATCAATATTCTCGTACTTATCATAAAAGTCTTTTAAAGTGTTGGGTACTGACATATACAGGGTGGACCATTTTAGCCAATCAACGAAAATATTTCTTCAGGCAGATATGTTAGAAGAACGCGGTTTAGACAAAAGTTGTAAGCTTTACAGGGACTCATCTTAATAATGATTTTTAAGGCAATAATAAAAGTTATTTAAAAATCTGAAATCGTTCTTTTTAACCGCATTTTGACAAAGGGGAGGAAATTTTCCTTCGGATATGTAATTAAGAAAGCTGGTAAATAACCTAGAAGGTCATCTGGAGTTTAAGGGGTATCTGACTGTACAAACCTAACATGTCAGATATATTCTCTGTTGACATATCGTGTTTTGCGATTTTTATTTTTGAATAGAAATTTTTAGTGTTGTTATTCTCTAAATAGGTTATTAGGACCTTGTAAAGATAAATAAGTCATTTTAATTAATTAGGCAACCCTTATTTTTTATTATCATAATTATACGTATATACTGTAGCGTCCACGTGCGTGATTTTGTGCGATCGGGCATACGTGTGTGTGAGCGGCTTATCGATTCGCCGACTAGCCGCGGGCGCTTTTCTTCATGTGCGCCGTATCTGTAGACGTGTGTGTCGTACCTGCGTTCCGGGAAAGCAATTAAACCGTTCAAAGAAAACGAGACTTCTCTGGACGGCTGGAGAACGTTCCCGAAAGGAGGCAAGGGAGTATAAAAAGGAAGATCGACGAAGTGTAGTGGAAATAAATTGACCGTCGCAGAAGTAAATCAAGAAATAAATTGACAGTGATAGAAGTGAAATAAATAGAACAGTGAATAGTAACAGTAGTGTAAATAAATAGAATAATTACCTAAGTTAGTAAATAATTTAATAGTGTTTTTAAGTTCAATAATAATTAGTGTAAATAAATAGTTTTCTTCATAAAAGTTAATTTGTTAAACCCACGAACGTTACAATACGTTTATATACATTTGACGGAAATTTTACCTAATTACACTTATGATGCACTGGGTGGTGCATATAAAAGAAATTGAATTGAGAACCGTGAAACTTTTTATAGAGGTATTTTAGAAATGGATATGTAAGTTACTGAGATATCGAAGGAGAAACTCTGTTTTGTATAAAGGTTACAGTATTCGCATGAAAAATAAATATAAGGATAGTTCAACTTTTCCGAAATACTTGAAAGAAGAAATTGAAGTGCTGCAACATCATGGAGAACAGCACAATTACTAGAGAAACCGACTATGTGTGTAAAGCCTAATGTTGGAGCTACAGAGATGAAGCAGTAGATGCTCAATGCCAGAAAAAGAGCTAGGGAAAACTATGATTATTTGCCAATGTCAAAAATTTATCAGGAACAGTTTCAAAAGTTATTTAATAAAGGACTGGATTTCGTGACAGATAGAAGTACCTAAATTTATTTCAGTGATAAGGCAAAATGAATGATTGTGGAAAACGTACACATGGCTAACAGTCTGGATTAAAATATAAAGGGAAGATAGTTTAATCTTGATAATTTCTAAACGTTATTCTGTGAATTTAAAATTAAATTACAAGAGAGCGCAAATCAATCAGATATAATGGAGTAGGTTAAAATTTCTCTAACAATAATCCCAGAGCGCAAAGTAGTCGATTTCAGGTAAGAGCGCAAAACGGCCTAATATCCTACTTTGTAGGTCGACACTGAAGAATAAGTTTCCTATTAGAAGTAGGCGCTTGGACACAACTGGATTTCTATTCTTGTAAAGAGCTCATTCACTTTATTGCACGAATCTCTAAAAATATCCAACTAAAGATTTTCCAGCGGGATCCTCTTTACTTTGACATCACAAGAAATTTATCAAAAGTCCATAAAACTAACTGCGTGCACTCGATGGCTACAAATGTTTCAGACGAAAAAGCCAAGGAAGAAGAACAATAACGAACAAAATTATGACATAACCCATAGATATGGACCATGTAAAAAAATGAATCTTGGTTTTTACCTGGAAGTTGGTGTAGACACGAATGCAAAGCAATTCCCGAGTTTTCTCAAGTGTATATCTCGAAAACTATTGGTTCTAAGTAAATTTTGTTTAGGACCTTTTCTATGCCGATGCATCTCACAAACAAATCTCACGAGATATTTGAGGAAAATTTGTTTTTCGTGACCTTTCGACACATGTAATTTTTGTAGTCATCCAGTTGGCTCTATTGACTTTTAAATAATTATATGTGATGCCAACAAAAAAATAATTCCACTAGAAAATCTTTAATTACATTTTTTAGAGATTTAATATATTTGTGTAAAGTGGCCGAACAAAAAGGTTTTGTAGATATTTGTAGGCGTTTTTGGTATGACGCCTCTACGGCAAACAGTAGTAAGAACGGGCAATTCCAAGAATACGCATTATTTAATTATATCGTTCAAAATTTGAAAATGCCGACAAAGTGGGTGTCTGGGAAAGTTTATTGTAACAATCACAATTATTTGCTGGTTAATCCTATTCATTACTGACGCGAAAATTCAAAGCAATTTAACCCCTTTAAAACGTAATAATATGTACAAATAACTCTTGTAAATCAATAATAAATAAATACATAACGTATAGTGGACAAGTGAATACTTTAATATCCACTTTAAATTTGCTTCGACTTTCTAGCATCAGCAACGGATAGAACAAATTCCACATCATATTCGCAATAAAATCTCAATTTTGTCATATCATTCAGGATCCCTTGGATTGTAAAAACAAAAAATAAGGGTTTTTGCATAAAATATTCATATTAAACATACCATGATGTTATTGGATGTCAGAAATAGTAGGTGAAGCTTTAGGAAATTTTAAAGTTAACCTACAAATAACCTTCCACGGTCATGATTATCATCGGATGTACCCGTTTATATCCTTCAATGTTTATTCCCGAAATTTCTCGCCTTGGGCCATATCCTGTTAATTAGTTAATTCTATAGGGTTAATTGATTACCCTTCTATGTTAATTTCCTCTCTTTTAATTACGTAATCGAACGTGACCAAAAATAAAGGTTTCTATAAGAAAAACAAAATGTTATATAGACTACTAGCGACCCGCCCTAGCTTCGCACGGGTGCAATACTGATACTAAATGTACTACAGAATGTCTTTATACACAACATTCACAGCTTGTTTTGGTCATCAGACAATACAAACCGGGCCCCCGGTCAGTACCACCACAACTAGGGTTGCCACCCGTACTTTATTATAAAGTATTGTACTCTATTTCGACTGTGCGTACGTTATACTTTACAAGACTCATAAAGTACGCAAAAATACTTTATTTAAGACCTAAGGTAAACATCGTAATTTTTTAAGCAATTATTCGAAATTCATAGTATTTTTACATCAATAATATTACACAGAAAAATGGCAAGCCATATTTACGGAACAACCTGATTTCCCAAATCTGTTCAAAGTAATGTCACTTTTGCTGTCCGCTCCGGCCACTTCAGCATTTACAGAAAGAGTATTCTCTGTTATGAACACAAAGTGGCGGGACGACGAGAATAAAGCTTCATTAAAATTAATTAAAAATGGACTTTTAGTTTACTTAAATCTTTGTTTGCTATGTTTAGAAGCTATTAATATATTTAAGAGCGACAGCAATTTGTTACTGGCTGCTAGGTGTAACAAAAAATATGTTTTTAAAAACATAAAATAAAATACTTTATTTTTATGCTGAGTACTTTGTTTTTTAAACCTTTTAGTCGAGAAATACTTTAATGTAAAGCCTGAAAAGGTGGCAACCCTACTTGACACACCCCAGCATTTATGCATCTATAAAACTAGTCACTCTAACCGGGGATGACACCTTTGGTGTTGAAACGCGTTTTNCAATGTATTTAAAAGTACTTAATTGGATAAGGATTAATGCTGTATTGCTTAAAATCATTTTGTAAATAAGTCATTATTTCTCATAAAAAAGTAAAGGATAAAAAATGGTTATTATGGGTTATTCCTAAGAGATAGAGATATACCATCCCGGACTTTTTTGTAGACCTTTTTAATGTGTACAATACTGTAATACCTTATTTTGATCTATCTCATAAGGTTCAGCCAGCGTTTGCAATGTAAGCACAAAAAAATGTGTTTATTTACGACATCACATTAGAAATCTGTAAAATTATCAGTGTTTCTCTACTATATTATGCATGTATTATACATATAAACCTTCCTCTTGAATTACTCTATCTATTAAAAAAAATTGCATTAAAATCCGTTGCGTAGTTTTAAAGATCTAAGGATACATAGGGACAGACAGCGGGGGGAATGTGTTGCATGATTTCGTTACATAGCAATTCGCATGAAACGTACTTACCCAACTGTGCGTAAAGAAGTTTCACTTCAAAAACAAAATGTTACATAGACTGTTAACCCAAAGTATATTACATAAGTCACCATTTGAAGAGATTTCGCTTTGATTGATTAAAATGGTTCACCCTGTATAGTAGTCAGCGAACTGTTCATAATGTTTCCAAAAATTAAATGAAACCACCGATTTCGTTTCATATTACTTTACAAGCATATCTTTTCATATGTAAAGCTGTTTAAATATAGATGCACAAATCCACAAAGTAATATTGGTTTATCAAATTAATTGGATATGAAACTAATTTATTTCATAAACCCGTCAGCTTATTTACAAATCGC